GTAATTTGTATTATTACTAGTAGTTCTTTCTACTCTAGCAATGTAACTTAATAGCCCTTCAAAAGTTTTTATATTTTGTACACCCACAGTCTCAGTAATAGAGGGTTTGAAATGTCTTGACATGTACATTACAATTTCTTCTTCTCTTAGAGCTGGTTCTAAATGTTGCATATGCGTGTATAATTGTAAAATGTAGTTCGTCATTGTCGTACCTTTGTCATTGTATTTTCCAAAGTATAATCTTTCCCTAGCTTGTCCTTGTTGAATATCGCCCCAAAATTGTCTATTAAATTTTTCTTCAAATTCTTCATAATTTGTTAAATTAGTTTCAATGCATGAAAACCATACTTGTGCCTGTCCACTCAAACTATTTCTTACTATTTCCCTCCATTCTTCAACATTTCCTGTTTCTTTTAATTTATTTCTCATAATTTTGTTAAAAGTTATGGGATGAATTTTCTTGACATCCCCGTCAAATTTGCTTAAACTTTCTTGATAATGATGGATATTACGTATTATATTCCTATCATCATTAACGCCTATTCTCTCAATGTTTTGTATTCTGTGATGCAAATTTTCCTTTGTGGTTTTTAAATTATTCTCCAATTTATCTTTTTCAGTAATTATTATTCGTCTTAATTTTTCATTCTCCACCTCTACTATGCTTAAGTTCTGTCTTATTTCTTCTTTTAGATCCTTTTCTATGATTTGTATCTCTTTGCTGTTCTTTAAAATCTTTCTTTCTAATTCTTCTTTGCCTAATATTGTGTTGCTTTTATTCTTTAATTCTGTTCTTATCTGTTTTTGTTCCTCTTGTAATTTATTTATGTATTCTTTGTTTGCCCGTATGTTGTTTTTATTTTGTTCCATTTCTTTCGTTAGCGTATTAAGTTTTCTTTTGATTTCTATACTTACGTCTTCTAATTTCTTTTCTAGTATTTCTTGTCCTCTCTTCGCATCTTCTTGACCTTTCTTCATATCTTCTTTCATTTCTTCTTGACCTTTCTTCATATCTTCTTTCATTTCTTCTTGACCTTTCTTCATATCTTTCAGAAAAGCTAACATTTGCATCAGCATAGTGTCCTTTTCCCCTACTGTTCCTTCTCCTGTTCCTTGTATATCCAGTACCTCCTGTGGTGTTTCTTCTGGTATTTCTTCATTTAGTTCATTTTCTTTGTTTTCCAAAGTATTGTCTGTATTTTCATCATTTTCGTCTTCTCTAACTGGTTTAGTGTTTCCACTTCTTAGATCCATTTTAAATTATGTATTGTTTTATTAAAATTTAAAAATATAAGTTTGTTATTAAATATACTATTAAAGCAATATTTTTTTTTATACTAAAAAAAAATTCAAAATGCAATTAACCTTTCAAAAATTAATTTTTTTTTTTTTTTAATTATTTTATATAAATACGCCTCTGTTTATTTCGAGCACCACGTTGGCTAGCCAATTGATATGGATATGAGTTTGATAGTCAGGATTTTGTTTATATTGATTATAGTGTGATATATTTTTTATGTTTAACTTGATAATTTTTTTTTTTTTTTAAATAATTATTACTCAACCATATCATTAGTTATACGAATTTACCTTTATTAATTTCTGTTATTGCTCCGGCTATTACTCTTATCATCTCACGGGTCTTGGATTCTGGCGCTATTCCTTGTTAATATGAATCTTTTTTTTTTATTTAATAAGTTACCTTTCTCGATTAGAGTGTTATTTTCCCAATTAATCAATAAAATATTCCTTTTACAAAAATATTAGTTTCATTTTATTTACAAACCAAATCATTTCAACATTTTGATATAAATAGGAACAAGAAAATTATTTATAATCAATTTTGTGGATAGAAAATGGCGGACACGCCATCTATTGGAGGATATTACAGTATGCTGTGCTCTGGAGTTGAATCACTTTATTTAAGTAAAATTAAGACTAGCTTTCTGTAATTACCCTTCCTAAAATATTTGTAAAGAGCTCTATACATCTAACCTAAATTTAAAAAAAATTATTTACACCAATGCAGGATACAGAACGTAACAAAATGTTTATTGTGTTTGAAAACCGAAAGTCAATTAATAAACTGTTCAAAAAAACTTTTAAAAGTAAGTAGCTTGCAATATCTTTAATCAACTTGTTTAAATTATTTTACTCACTAAAACCTCAGTTCTTTCCTAGTTAAAGTTATTTTGATTCCAGGAATTGGAAATATACTCCTCAACATGGACGAAATGGCTGATTCCCACAGAATCGTCGGTCTGCTTGGTGACCGGAGTTCGATACACGATTTGCTCCTTCTAGTTAACGGTAGGTAATTTTTTTACTCACCCAGGATGTACATAATAAAATTTGAAAGAATATTTTATTATTTTTAGGTTGTAATTTGCTTAAAATATATCAAGAATTCCAATTTTAATTTCAAAAAAAATCTCAAACGTTTGTCAAAAACTCCATCTCAAAATCAACAACCCCTTAGTTACCCCTTGGATACCAATCATCCAAAAAAAAAAAAAAAAGTAAAGGTAGGTTCGTATATGTTTTTTTTTTATGTTATTGAGATACTCTTTGTGGTCATTGCAATGTGATTTTTTTTTAATTATGTTTACTTTTTAGTGATTTTTTTTTTAAGTGAACCTTTATTGTTTAATCATTATTTAATATTTTTTTTATCACTTATGACAGCTAATGTTTCTTTTTACTTACAAAGTTACTGTACTAATTGTCACAGTGTACAGTTCGTCCCAAATTAGAATTTACTTTTGTTATTTCATTTCAATATATATATATATATATATATATATATATATATATATATATATATATATATATATATATATATATATATATATTTATTTATATTTATATTTATTCATAATAATCCCAAAATATGAAAGTTTTGAACCGAACTTACAAATTATAAAATTATTACCAAAGCACATTCTTAGGTTGTTATATTATGCGTTAGTTGAGAGCCATTTACGGTATGGAATTTTAATTTGGGGATGTGCTTTAAAGACTCATATAAAACCATTAGAAATTATCCAACGACGATTCATAAAACTAATTTGTAGTAAAAAATCCCGATATCCTTCTAATGCTCTATATTGTGAATCACAAATTATGGATGTAAGGCAATTATATTTTTATGAAAGCAATATAAGATATCACAAGAAAAAAGAATTTGCTACAACTTCCTCACATAGTTATAACACTCGCCACCAACATTTTTTTACTGTTCCTTTTATGCATAAAACTCTAACGCAACACTCTCAATTATTCATAGCACCTAAACTATATAATAGTCTCCCTGAGCCACTCAAACAAATAAACAATATACAGAGATTTAAAAAATTGTTAAAGAATTTTATTTTTGAAATTAATAGGAATGTTATTGCCGGTTATTTTAATTAATGAAAAATGTATCTAATTATAGTAGTTAACCTAATCCATTTTACGATTACCTATATGTTGTTTTATGTAAATATATTTTAGTTTTAATATTTTCTTTATACAATTTTTTTTTTTTTATTATACATATATATTTTTAACTGTTTATCCCTGTTTATCACTGTTGTTACCGAAACAAGTGTGTATTCACTTATCGGTTACCAGCTTTATTTATATTTTTTTTTCTCTCACTATAATTTATATATATATATATATATATATATATATATATATATATATATATATATATATATATATATATATATATATATATATATATATATATTGTAATCTAAATAAAGCATTATTATTATTATTATTATTATTATTATTATTATTGTAAAAAAGTGAACACCCTTTTTAAATAAATATGAGCAGCCAGTGATTATAATATACGGAGTGGCCCAAAAGTCTGGAAACGGCCAATTATCTCGTAAATTGCTAGTCCTAATAGTACAAAATTTGGGGTACACCTATTAGGGGATACGGAGATTCAAGATTTGATATTTGCAATGTTGCTAAATTTGCCGTTTCTCTTATATTATTAGTCACTTTGGTTTTTCAAATTCATCACCCTATATATTCAGTTATTATTGTAATCTCCTATTCAATACGAGTATAACCATATGTAACACTTATGATTTTATGTAGTCTAAAAGGTCTGAAATAAATAAAACAATCATGGAGAAATGTGGTAGACGCATTCTACCATCGATGGAGCACATTTTGAATACTTGATAAAGTAACCATTATGTCAAAAATGTTATAATTTTTCAATTTTTACGTTTTAATATAGTTGAAAATAGTTTGTATTAAAAAATTCATTAAAACAATTAGGCGTTGCCAGACTTACTTTATTTATTTAAGACCATCCAGACTACATAAAATTATAAGTGTTACATATGGTTGAAATCGTATTGAATAGGAGATTCCAATAATGACTGAATATATAGGGTGATGAATTTAGAAAACCAAAGTGACTAATAATTTAAGAGAAACGGCAAATCTGGCAACATTGCAAATATCAAATCTGGAATCTCTGTGTCCCCTAATAGGTGTATCCCAAATTTTGTACAATTAGGACTAGCAATTTACGAGATAATTGGCCGTTTCCAGACTTTTGGGCCACTCTGTATATGCGCGTCGTTACTCGTACTCGTTACTCGTCTGCTGAAGAAATAAAAAGTCTGAATTCTCTAAAATATAAAGTACTCGAAATTTTTTGAGTATGAGTCCCATCAGGATAAAAGTACTTACGAGTACCAATTACTGAGTACTTTGAGTACTCGAGTATATTTTTGAGTACAATTTACTCGAGTACTGCTCAGCCCTGATTCTAGTTGACAAATACTGGTGCCAGAGACACCTCAGTTTCATTATTCCAAACAAAAGCTGCACTATTCATCGGAATCTATTGATGTTTTTACTGAAAATAGAATCGAGTTTTCGATAAAAACCTATTCTCTCTTCATGTAGTAAACCCTTTAAAACAGTCCGACTCAAATTTCTTTTTTGTCTATGGGGCAAACATTTAATTGATTTATACATACCTTTTTATTTCAATTTTATTATAATAAACAGCCAACGCTTGACAATACCCACTGGATTATCGTTACCTTTGCGAAATAATGTCCTGAAAGTATTTACGTTTCAAATTAATGTTATCACACTACCTAATTATGAAAACGTCTAATTAAAGGGCTCGTTAGAAGTAAATATGTTTATCTAATTTACACATTATATGTGTCTATATAACAAAGAAATATTCAATATAAACATATCCAACTCCTTTGTACAGTATAGTTAAATAATCTTTTTCTGGCCAAGTCCAAATGTAATATTATTAGCGTTGCAGATGATACTGTAATTTTTGACAAAGATACAATATGGTCGATTTGAAAACAAAAATAGAATCTGACTTTCCCCTAATAACACTGGTTCGATAACAAGGTCTTATCCATAAATTTTAAGAAAACGTGTTTTTTGCCCTTCTATAGTTATAGTTCACATCTTTCAGACTTTGATAAACTATCAATTAAAAGTGATCTTAAAATTAAATTAGGGTCTATTTTTATTTAAAAAATCAAGACGACTTAAACCTGATGACATAGGTGGTCATTATATTGATACTTTTCTATCTATCAACTGATTTGAGAAGACATTGATCAATTAATTTCTCACCAAGGACGCATAGTGTGGATCTTGCTACAGCTACAAATCATTTCACGAAGAAAATCATAACATTTGGTCCTTCTAGCCGGATCAAGACGCCAAACAAACGAGATTGTTTTGATTGACGAACGGCAAACATCACAGAAACAACATAATTCAACACCCAAACAGGCCAGTCCATTCGATATTCCATTATTTTTTCTTAACTAGATTTGACATAATAATAATTAAATGAAAAAATAACCAACAATGGCAGCGCCAAAAAATGATAACGAATTAAAAACATTGAAACTGTAGAGACTTAAACGCACTACATACTTTCGTTCTTAACTCTCCGCAACACATGCGTCATACATACACTAATTATTGTAGTTACGCAAACGCACTATATACTTTCGTTCTTAACTCTCCGCAACACATGCGTTATACTTACACTAATTGTAGTTATGCAAACGCACTACATACTTTCGTTCTTAACTCTCCGCAACACATGCGTCTTACATACACTATCACCTTTTTAGATATCCTTACTTTACATTAAACTATGGATTAAACTCGCCTCGTTGGCAACCTAGGTTGCCAAGCAATAACATTATTATTTATATACACACTGTCAGTTACATCTTTTACTTGTCACTGATATTACAATTATTATACATTTTATACATATCAGTTTTTATTTTAACATTTATTTGATAGGAACTTGAGACCCCAAAAATATTCTCAAGTTTTGATTTGATCCCATCTGTAGATAAATATTTGGAGATTCGATTAATCACCAGACTGGGAGCTTATTGTTTGAAAGATCCTATCAAATAAATGTTAAAATAAAAACTGATACGTATAAAATGTATAATAATTGTAAAATCAGTGACAAGTAAAAGATGTAACTGACAGTGTGTATATAAATAATAATGTTATTGATTGGCAACCTAGGTTGCCAACGAGGCGATTTTAATCCTTCAGTATAGGGACCGTGCGTCATGACTTTAACGCTAACTGGTGACAAAAATGTGAACTTTTTGGGGGGTATTTATGAATGTTTTATACGGCATTTATTGTTTAATAATTATTAATAAAATGAAGTCGAATTATTTTCGTAATATCAATATCGAAAAAACTTGTTGCATCCGTGGATGTACAAACACATCACTTTAGAAACCTGGATTTCATTCGATAGTAAAGAAATTTTATAAATTTCCACAGAGCAAAATTATGCCTCACACCCAATGATATACATAATTACAAAGATTGCTTATCCATATGTAAATCAGACGACGAAAAGCGTATTTCACTGGGCAAAGTTTTCTTTTTATCTAGCTTGTATCAATTTTGAGCACTTAGTTGTAAAGAAATCATTTACAGAACCGGTTTAGAAATTAGAATCTTTAGTGTTTTCTTGTCATTAACATTTTTACATATTTAAATGAACATTTTATATAAATATAATTTTACAGATAATGGTTTATTCTGTTGATTAAAACTAATGTAGAATGTTATGAAATAAGAATGACCAATTTGACAAAAATATCACGGCCCTCTTTACAATTTATTAACTATTTCTCATTTATTATTAAAATAAACAAATCATAAATAATACATTGCAATTACTGTCAAAAGAGATTGTAACAAACTTTAAAATATTAAAAATCCAGTGATTTTTTGTAATTTTTTTTAGTGACATTACCATTAAACATTATTCAGAATAATAGATAAGTGTCCAATTACAACTCTTACCAAAGTTGTTTATACCTCATATCAAAATTGTTTACATTACCTTTTCAAAATTGTACTACATATTGCAATTATGTATTTTATGTAGAATTGTTTCTGAAATAGTAGTCTAAAATTATTTATATTCATCTGTTATAAAAATTGTTTAGATCTCTTAATATTATTTAACTACATGAAAACTCAACTTTCCAAATACATAATGACATGTCTTGAAGTAAAACTTTAATTATTTTCTTTTTCTAAAGATTAAAATGCTGAAATTTTATTTTAAAACACATTTGGGCTAGAACGGCTCTATTTAGTGAGCACTAGGAAAGGCACATTGCAACCCGCTTTTCATAATTTTTTTATAGTTGGGTGAGCAATCTATAATATATGTATCATTGAACATCTCATAAACGCCAGTGGATGAATGACATTTCGATTAACATAAAGCTAAAAAGATTTATAATTATTATTATCAATCTTTTTTATTAATTTACATTTTTTAAATGTTATTGTAATAGTTTTAAATTCAGTGTTACTAAATACCGATATTTTAACATTGGATACACTTGTTTAAGGTACAACTTTACAATTTATTGTCACTTAGCCATTTAAATTTTTTTGCTTAAAATGTATATGCATGTCCAGATTTTAATAATGTTTCACATTTTACGTCATTTTGACCATGTACACGATTGTTTGGTACGGGCCGGTATCTATTTTTAACTATATTTAATATTTAAAAAAATACCCTTCATTATTTACTTGCAATGTTTACCCCATTTAATTCTAAAATTAAACACTAGATAGGGCTAAGTTCGGCAGTAGTGCTGCCTCTATATTTCACGCACGGTCCCTATAGCTGCCACGTAAAGTAAGGATATTTAAAAAGGTGATAGGGTATGTATGACGCATGTGTTGCGGAGAGTTAAGAACGAAAGTATATAGTGCGTTTGCGTAACTACAATTATTAGTGTATGTATGACGCATGTGTTGCGGAGAGTTAAGAACGAAAGTATGTAGTGCGTTTGAGTCACTACAGAAACTCAATTACTTAATTCATTTATCCACAATTTTGAGGAAAACTTTAGAGCTTTAACTACATTAGGTTCAAGCTGCGGAATATTGGAATACACCATTAATTTATATTATTATAAATCCAAAGAATGAGACAAACTTACAAAAAAAGACGATGTAAATGACATACATAACACAAAATAAATTTATTTAGTTTTTAACTGAAAGAGTGGACTTATTGGAAAACGAAAATGATGATTTTAGACGTTGTAAAGACTTTTCGAGCACAAAAAAAAGGTAAATCTAGCTTTTGTCGACAACAACGCTTTAATCAGGAGTATACAGAATTTAGTTCAAACACAGTACAACAAAAGTATAACGATGTAATAAAACAAACTATTACACGAATTGTTTAAGGCCAGGGTATTTTATATATGAATGCCCAACGAGAGGTTATAAATTTGGTGGAAAAACACCACTCTCTTTTATATAATCCTAAGATAGCGAGTAATGCGGCAACAGTGTTGACCGAAAATCGTAATGATACAACTTCATCTACAAACACATGTGCTTCTATACAAGCTTAATGTACAAACGAAGCTCAAATCTTCCTCCATGGCTCATATTTTACTTTTATTTTACTGCACTTATTTATTTACTAAACGGAGATGGTAATATAGATTCTTTCATTATCTGTTGGTGCAGTGTCTACCAGTGTAAATCACACCACCTTATTTACCTGATTTACTTCCGCCTTATTCCTTATACACACGTCAAGTGTAATTCACTCCTTTTAATAGCTGGTGTCGAAAATATCCACCAGAGGACACCACATCGCCGACAGGAAGGTGTAGTGTTGTGATCGCTCGAGTACTCGATTATTGAAATAACCGACATTACACGCTTATTGAAACTACTCGAACTATAAATTCAAGCGAAAATCGTCGCTCAAAATCTGGGGGGCTATTTTCAAACTCGAGCGAATTCGTTTCTCTCGAGAGAAATGTCATACGTCAATGTTAAACAGTATTTTTAGGGCCCTTAAGACCAGTGTGAACTCACTGACTGTTTCTCTCGGTTTAGTTAGAGAGAATTAAAATTCTCCTAAGAATTTTAATACTCGAGTCCTTTAAAAACAGCGTTTCCATATTGACGTATGACATTTCTGATGAGAATCTTGAGAGAAATGAGTGTTCCCATACTTTGAAAATAGCCCCCCTGGATAGCTATTCACTAAGTTATGGAAGCGCTCCCATGGGAGTGCTCCCATATATTTTGCTCTTTTACTCTTAGGTGGGTATATCGTGCTTACTCACTTTTAGCCCAGGTCAGATTTTATACTATGGGAAAGAGAATTGCGGGCTTGCCAGATTAGGTCCGTATTTATCACAAAGCAAATTTGAACTACTAAGGGCCGATTTCACCCTTGAGTTAAACGGATATTAAAATGACATTATTGTTAATGTAAAAATGTCATTTTAAACTTCGTTTAACACAACGGTGGATCGATCCTTAAATAGTAGATCAAAGTTATTCTGTCGACTTGGCAACGTTGGCATGGGAGTATGGGAGTATGGGAGTGCTCCCATGAGTTAGAGAATAGGTATCCTGATCACTTGTAATGCTTCAAACTACCGGATGCTGGCGCATGGCCATTCGCTACACCGAGTGAAAAATCATTCGAATTATATTGCGAGTGATGCAGCAGTCTTTAAGCGATCTACCTGAATTCGTTCATTATA